GTATTTGAAGCTTCAACTTGTTATATTGTTATATATTTATTTGTTATAATGATACATGCAAATCTATATTTGCTGTTTATAGCAGCAAATTCATAATAGCTAAATCTTAGAAGTGGCCAATAGGTCTGTCAAAAAGTGAATGGATAAAGAAATTTATACACAATGGAGTACTTCTCTGCCATAAAGTAGGAAAATTGATGCACCTTGGGAAAATAATGTTAAGTGAAATAAGTCAGACACACAAGTTCAAATACCACGTAGTTTCTCTTATATGAGAAACCTGAAGTATAAACAAATTAAAGAGCAAAATAAAAAATTGATAATAGGAAACAAAGAGGTAGATCTTTTATAAATATGAAGGGGAAGAAGAGGTGGAGGTAATGGGGAGTAAGGGGAAGGAAGGCATAAATAAAGAACTAAGATGTGTTATGTACCAACTCACCATGAGGAACGCTCATTATGTGCTGCAAACATGTACTAATAAAAATAAAAAATTGCTGAAAATTAAATTTAAAAATTAAAAAAGAAAATAGACATGTTTCTAAGCAGCATTAATTAATTCATGTGGAAAACTCACAATTGAAAGATATATGAAGATTTATTTATTTCCTAAAAGAATCCTTTTATAAAGAGAATGACTATCCTTAATTTTTTAGATAAATTTAAATTCTTTAATATGTCACACACACACACACACACACATATATAGTAGCCTCAAGTCCCTTTTTGTATGCAGAAGAGAATGGAATGTGAATTTTAAAAGCATATAGTTGTAATATCAGGACTACAAACTATTTTTAAAAAATGATTGCTTTGGTGAATTGATGAAGAGATATTTTTCATATTTTTTCTTCCATAAAATACAAATCAGGGGAATCATCCTAGGGACTCCTCTCTCTCCCTCATGCTCAACATGTAGTCTACCAATTTGATATTCTAATAATTTCTTTAAAATTCTTCACACTACTACACTCCTGCCTGTTAGAAATTTTAGCACCTTAGAATTTCCTCACTGAATCTGCTACAGTAATCTATGTGGGATACATATTTATTACATTATTCAATTCTTAAAATCTTTCTGTGACTTCTTGACTGCTTAGCATGCTATGTTTTGTTGTTGCTTTTGAGACAGGGTCTCACTATACAGCCCAGGTTGGGCTCAAACTTGTGATCCTCCTGCTTCAGCCTCCCAGAGTGTAATTACTATCACACCTTCCTTTTTTGATCTGCCATGTGAGAGTCTCAGGACTATTGCCCTGTTTTATCTTATCTTCTATAACTCTCTGCTGTGCATTTTGCAATAGTGGCCCTGCTTATTTGATTTTACTGATGACCCTCAGGAAGTCTTCTGAGTCCCCAGAGTTGGCTCTGTACTGTGTCTATGTGCCAGTATGGCATAATGGGATATCTGTTGTAAGACCTCCCACATTCCACATTTTCACAAAGGGTCTAGGGCTGAACTAAACTGAAAAAATTGTGACACATGGATGACACTAATTTGAAAGTTTTACTCTACAGTTAATATGAATATTATTTCTTTTATTTTTTCTAATTACAAAACAATTAATCCCTAGGTCTCCCCAGAGGTATGCAAGAAGAGACTCTCTGAATGAACCAATGACCCCATTACATGTCCTCCAACAACTATTTTCTGATCAAATGTATAGCATTTCTTGTTGGTAAAAAATAGTACTTAGCATATAAGAAAAAAGTGGCTAGTCAGAATGAGTTGGCACTCTTGATTTATAGATGTATAGATTTCTGAAATTAGTTACATTTGTAACATTTGCAATGGTCAGTAGCCAGAGAAATCCCATTTAAAAATTAGAAGTGCTTAACTAAGCACAAGTTGGAGAAAATAGAAAGAGGAATCAATTTTTTATTAGTCTCTACATTCTCTTACATTCCCTAAATGTAATGAAAGCAACAAATGAAAAAAATCAGAGATCCTCAACTGACGTTCAATCATTTGGAAAGGTCATTGTATTTATAATATAAATACTGTAGAAATCATTAAGGAAATACGTGTTTAAAATCTATTTTGTAAACAAACAAGCAAACCATATTTCCCTTGGAGGCAGCCATTGTGTAGGAAAAGACAGAATTGAACTCAGTCTGAGCTGACATGAATTTTGACATTAAAAACCAGAGCTACCCTTTCTGAGTCCCTGCTCAATGTCAAGTAATGAGCTGAGAAGCCATGTGCAAGTCACCTGATCTCTGCTTTTCTTTACCTTATTGGAATTGAGAGCCCTGAATCTGGATTCTGAGAAAAGAATCAACCCCCATCCTCTTACCTCCCCACCCCATGATGGCTGCCAAGGTGAGGGGTTCACTTTCTAAGAAAAAATCAATGTATACATGTGAACCCCACCAAGGCTTTTTAATAAGGTGTGACCTCACACTGCTGAGAAATGGGAGGAGAGAGAAGTTTGGGTGGGATGGAGCATTGGTGGAGAGGGGGGCTGGCCTGGAGAGATCATATTTGCCACTGTAGAATGGCCTCTCATCTGGCCCTCCTGTGCAAGCAAACCCCAGGCGTCAGCACCTGACCTCCTGAGCCCACCAGAACCAGAGGCCCTTAGCCAGTGCTAGATGGACCCCTCTTGCTGCTGCACCAGCTGAGGCTGGAGAATGTTGTGGGCTACCTTGGTTGAGCATTGTCCTTCCACGTTCCCACCTCATTATCTTCAGCAGCAGCAGTATCATGTAATATTTTCCAATTTCTCAATAGAAAGGGTTGCACTTTTACACAGTTGAGCCTCCCATCAGTGGGGTCTGAGTTCCCCTCAGACACCTTTTCCTATTTCCCATCTCTTAAAGGGTATTTCATCTACCAATAGTCCCACAGCCTGGGAACTAAGCTTTTGGTATATGGGGCCTGTGGGGGACATTTCAGATTTACTTTTAAGGGTCTTGCTAAATTGTCCAGGTTGGCCTCAAACTTATGATCCTCCTACCTTGACCTTCCAGAGTGCTGGGATTACAAGTGTGTACCAACATGCCTGGATAGGCATCCCAATTTAATGAATTCAGTAGTCAGAAAAATCATTTTGCCTTATCTTTTTTTCTTTAAATATTATTAAATTATGCCCATATGAATGTGACATCATGTTCATCTTATGTCATCCTCTAATGATAAGACAGGTGCATAAATTAAAATCACTGCATTTCATTAAATGTAACTGGCAGTGCTTTAGATTTAGATTAATTGCACATAAAAGACATGCCATACATTAAATAATCCTATACCATGTAATATGCTGACATCGAAATGCTTTTTCTCCTTCCTTTTACCAAACATTAATTCTTAAAGCCTCAAGCTCTATTACAGGTGCATGCTTCTTTGCAATGTAATTTTGTAAGTTCTATTTTCTTGTTGGGCTATCACTAAAGGCCTTGGTAATGGTAGCGCTACCATATGGAATCAGGCTAAAGCCCTGTATCTTGGCTTCATGTGATGAAGATCAAGGTAACTGTTAGTGATTGTACCCATTTTCTTTAGGAGCCTGGGAAATGAATTCAAACAACTACAAACTGGAATAATATTTTATTCCCAAACATAAAGCACAACTGAGGTATTTGCCACTACATAGATTTCCATGGAAATCACAAATACTGAGTATTTAGGTGTATGACTTTGAAGCCATATTCAGCACAAAACTCAGGGATGACTTTGAAATGTTATCTCATCATATAATAGGGATGCATGAAAAGACCAGATCTAAGATGCAACCTTTTTTCAGAGGATCTGAACAGCTTTCTTTCTATAGCAAATAGGATCCAAAAGAAATTTTCTGGATCTTTATTGAAATCCAAAGGCATATGACTAATCCTTCCAGAGTTATTATTCTGCAGCAATTTCACAACAATCATAAGCTTTTATGAGGAGCTATGATTACACAGAGAACCATATACAAAGATACTGGTGTCTTCCATTCAGAAACTGTGCTTTCAAAGGCGTGAATTACTAACACATAAACTTCATTAGCAGCTACAGAAGGAATGATACATCACTGGGCTTTCTTTCTTTCACCCAGTCCATATTTAAAGCTATGTGTTTGCCAAGAAAATCATCAAAAATAAAACTGCTTTCTTTTAATTCTCTATAATAGGAAGAACAGACATGAAACATAATAGGAAGTTGTAATGCTCCAAAAATATTGCAGGATTGGATGATACCAAAACCTCCACCAAACTTGGGACCATGACACCATTCACACCTGGATGTGCTGAACTGGAGGAAACATCAAGTCAATACTTGATAGATTTCTGCTAAATCAAAACACTGTGATTGATGTCCTGCAAGACTCAAAGTTGTATAAAATATGACAGTGATAATATATATCATACATATATTTTGTCATATATATTTATATCACTAGTCTAGTTTTCTCAAACAAAAAGAGTATGAAAAAGACTATGCCCTTAGTATAGTGTTTATAGTGCTTGTCCTTGGGAGAGAGGTTACTCTAGGACCACTTAGCCCTTTTTTTTGTTTCTGCATTTAACTCAATAAATTCAGGTTCAAGTTCCCTGCCTTGTGGTGAACTCTGATTGGCCCATATATGCTTACCAGTCACCAGGTTTTAGTTCTGTAGAAACAAATTTTGCCTTTAGAGATTATTGTTATTGTTTTACTTTCTCATGTGCAATCAAATTCCATGAGCATGGACATCTCCATACATAAATATCAAAAATTTCTGGGTCTGGTTCTCTCTCCATTGGTAGATTTTTTTTTTTTTGTACCAGGGATTGAACTTGGAACCTTCCACTTGTGAGGCAGGTGCCAGAACCACTGACCTAAATCCCTGGCCCTCTATTGTTAGATTTCTAATCACCAATTTCAGTTTCTCCAGTGGCTGCTAGTTTGTTCGAGATGTCTGCTGTGCTAGTCACCTTTCTATCAGTATAACAAAGCACATGATAATCAACTTATAAAGAAAAAAGTTTTGTTTTGGCTCACAGTTTAGGAGATTCTGGTCCTTTTTTTTTTTTTCTTTTGGTACCGGGGATCAAACTCGGGTCCTTGCGCTTGCGAAGCAGGTGTCGAAACCACTGAGCTAAATCCGAGGCCCTCCAGTCCATTTTTGATTGGCAACATTGTTTGGGGCCTGTGGTGAGGCAGCACATTATGGTAGTAGCAAGTGGCCAGAATAAAATCCCCTCACGGGCTGGAAGCAAAACAGAAAGAAGAAGGGGCTGTGTCCCACGATCCCCTTCAGGGACAACTCCCAGTGACCTGTGCTCCTCTCATGAGGCTCACTTCCTAAAGACTCCACCACCACCCGGTAGCATCACCCCAGGGAACAAGGCTTCAACACAGAGGACCCAGGGACACTCAACATCCACACAATGGCATCTGCCTATTATTGAGTCAATGTTGGTAATTTATATATTCTTGGAAAACCATTTTACTTAGGCATATATGTTAAAGTCAGTAGTCCTAGTACTGATGATGGATATTTAAGTAAAAATGGTTCATACCATTATGAAGGAAACACGAGAGAAGCTTGAGTGGACTATGAGTGTGTGAAGTTTAGGAGCCCTAGTGCTGAATGCAGGCAATGACTTCAAAACTCATCACTGATATTTGGAAAAAAGAAGTTACTCCGTATATGGCTGCTCTATTCCTAGTCTCTATCAAGTTAGAATGGAGTAAAACATATCCCTGGGACTAGACAATTTCTTTTAAAGAAATAATTTCTATGTACTTAGTAGTTCATAGAAAATATTTATGCAAAAGCCATATAAATATGAGATATAATAAATACAGTGAATGTTTACATTTAAAAAAAATGTAACACAGTAAAAGACACAATGATATTAAGTATCCTCAAAATACTCCCCCTTGCTTGAACCACACTTATCCCATTGTTCTTGCCACTTTTGGAAGCAGTGCTGGAAGTCCTCTTTTGAGTCTTTAGTTGTTCTGTTGTGGCTGCCTTGATGTCCTGAATTGAGGCAAAGCATTTACCTTTCATTGTCATTTTGATTTTACGAAAGAACCAGGAGTTTCATGGTGCAGATCTGGTGAATAAGGAGGATGAGGACACATAGCAATGCTTTTTTACAAGCCCGCCTTCTCACTGGATGGCACCCAGCAGCAGCATTCACTATATTTTTTATCATACTTTATAAAGACATGAAAGAAGACTTCCAGACTTGTTCAGAAAGTAACAATAACAATGGCATAAGTGTGCTTGTAGCAAGTGGGGGTATTTTGAGGGGAATTAATGGCAAGGTATCTTTTTATAATAATCAATTTTTAAAAATGTAAACATTCACTGTATATTTTGATCACAGCTCATACTTTCACTACAGCTCAGCAACCCACCCTTCACTTTGGAGGTAAGTAATAAAAGTAGCAGGACTCCGGTATTGAATATTAGGAAATGGACTGAATTCAAACAACATTATTATACTTGAAAAGCTAGAAGAGGATATTTGAGGAATCATGTATATGTGGATTTGGGTGTAGTATGGTATGCAGGTGTGTTACTAAAACTGTCATCTGGCCCTATAATAAAGAAAATTAAAATTTCAGAGGTGTCCTTTCAGTTGAATGCTGTGGCACATGCCTACATAATCTCAGCTACTTGGGAGGCTGAGACAGGAGCATTACAAGTTCAAGGCCAGCCTGGGTGACTTAGTAAGACTCTTTTTCAAAATAAAATTAAAAGGGCTGGGGATATAGCTCTGCCCTACAGCATTTGCCAAACATGTGTGAGGCCCTGGATTCAATCCTCAATACTGCAAAGAAAAAAAAAAAAAGAGTCAAAGAAAGGAAAGGAAAAAAAGGTGTACTTTGGCTAAAAACACTTTAGAATGTACTTAGCTTTTTAGTAACCTTTGGATTTTCACTGGGCTCACACCATAAGATGTAAATAGGTCATTTCTAACAATGAACAAAGAGCTAATATGCATAAGTCGTGGGGGACTAATCAAAGAATTCTCTGTCCAAAATCTATGATGAGTGAAAGTATTCTCAAAGGAGATCTTTGTTAGGTTAAACTTCAAAATTCCAGATGGCAAGTAAAATAAATAATTTCCATCAATATTCAGTTTTTCAAGTGATCTATAAATGGAGAAAACTATTGTAAAATGCAGTCACATGCAATTTATAATACTGAACTACAACTCTGGCCCAATGTTTTTGAAAACTGGCATCAAACTTAATAGCAATAAAACATACATATACTTAATATTTTCTCAGAATCAAGAGTATTTACTCAAATCAACTGAACCAATTACTATGATGCATGTAAATGCATTTGTGCGAATGGCATAGTAAAATTAAAAAAAATAGTGTTTGGGGTCTTTGTAACATACCATCTCCATGAAAAAAGAAATATCCACAAACCTATGAAGACTAATAAATATTACATAAGTATCATAAATGATATACAAAAAATCTTAGAAAATTTGAACATCAACATATTTTTATTCAAGTCTAATGAAAAGAGTAAAATTTATGCTATCAAAATATATCATGTGCTATGTTACACTTTGACTTTTCAATATCAGAGTCCTACTACTTTCACTTGGTCAATTACTTCTAATGGCCCTTGTTTCTTTATTCAAAGAGAACAACAGGACTGATTTTATTTCTCTAAATAATGTTCAGAGAACATTATAATCAATTATCTTCTTTTTAATTAGTGTTGAAAGCAAAGAAAATAGTATCTGTTCACTAGGGACATATAAAACTCAAATCCAAATCTGGTGCAACTTTTCAAATGCAGGAGAGGTGAACAGGTTACTATGAGGGCATTAGATAGTGAGCAGCAGGTGGCCTCTGGATTCTCATGGACAGTCTTAATCTCACATCTCATATTCACCCAAGTTAAGTTCTTCAATTCTAAATCTTGCTGAAAATATTAAAATATGGTCAAAGTGGGTATGTAAAACAAGGAGGCTGAGAAGATGGCTATCCAAATTCTTCAATCACAGTTTGCCTGCTGTGCTTCTCGTTGTCTGGTAAACTTGAGCAAGACACCAGGCTCAGTTGTGGTCTTGAAGGAGAGAACTGGCATGGCCATTTTTTCCTCTGCATCAAATTTAAGGCTAGGAATCAATAGCAGAGAGGCCTGCTGTGGTCTGAATGTTTATTCCACCCAAAATTCCTATCTTGAAAGTTACGGCATTCGGAGGTGAGTTTTCAGGAGGTGATTAGGTCAGGGTAGAGCCCTCATAAACAGAATTAGTATCCTTATAAAAGAGGCTTTTAGCGAGAATCTCCACTTCCTTCATCACAAGAGAGTCTTCACCAGACACCAATCTGCCTGCGACTCAGTCTTTGACTTCCCAGCCTCCAGAATCGTGAGAAATGAATTCCTGTTACTTATTAGGTACTTGCCCATGATAGGATGTTACAGCAGCTTGAGGTAACCAGGACAAGTTTCCTGTAGAGAATCAGAGTGACCGTGATTGAGGGCCCATTAGGGAAATGCTAATGAAATTTCCTGGAACATCCATGGGGAAGCTGCCCCTGCCTGAGTTGGTTTATCTGGGAGGATGTAGCAGTTTGGGTGCTTCCTTCCCTTCAGTGAGTTTGATGGAGCTAGCCAGGCTAACTAATCCTCGAAACTGGAAGAGTGCTATGTTTAGACAGCCTTTGCAGCTTAAGCGCTGTAGGGGGACAGAGAAACTTCCTCCTGTGTACTACTGACTGGTACTTTTGGTGCTCTGAGTGGTGTTCTGTGACTGTCACTGGCCCACACAGAAGGAATAGTGACAAGGAGAGGAAAACTCAACACATAGAACTGTGGTCCCAAAGCAAGCATAGCTCTGTGAGAGTCAGGTGAGAAGTTGGGTGGGGGTAGGAGAAACACTTGATCAGATTTAAATACAGTGCAGATGTGAGCCTACACATATACTCAAAACTTTCTGTGAGACCCAACTTAGCAACTTAGCAATACCAGCACCATGTTGAGAACATTCTCCTCCATTTTGCAAAAGTGTGACTTCCAACTGCACTCTGTCTCCTGGGAGAAAACCCCACCCCTAACCGAGGCATGTAACCACAAGGTAAAATAAACAGAAACTGTGTTTCAGGTGATCTGCAACAAACCGTTACCCAGGGGAATGGGGGGAACTAACTGTGCTTATCCTGGCTTCTGTAACCAGCTTCTGCAACAATCCGAGGGAGTTTTTCTGTGGTTTTTCCCTTTAAATATGCAGTCCTCATTTCAGTTGGGGCCTTTGTCCTCCGACTTGGTTGGAGTGTACACGGGTCCCGGCCGGAAAATAAAGTTCTCCAGTAAGATCCCAGGACTGTGTTGTGCTTTGGGAGTTTGTCGTTAATCTATTTCGGGGACGAGGTCCAACACTTTCCTAAGTAAAAAATGCATGACCTGCGAAAGTACAAAATTAAGCAGAGGAACAGAAGAACAGGGCCTTCATGGGAATACAAATGAGAAGGAGGTAGAAGAAATAACTCAAAACTGAGCAAGGACTTGGTGGAGATAGAAAGGAAATGTAGGGATAGGAGGGCAGGGAGGGGAAAGGAAAACAAAAGTGACTAGAGGTGCTATGCATATATACCAATTCCTGAAGATGAATAAAATTATTAGGTTTCACAAACATATGCTAATAAAAAGAAACTAAAAAGTTTAACGGAAAAAAACGGACAAAATTATAGGAAAATCATGAAGAAAAATACAGGTTCCATGGATTACAGATCCAGGAAATCTAACATATAGAATGATAGGCATTTAAGAAGAGAAAATGAAACAGAGGTAATAATTAAACATATTTTCTTAACTTAAAAAAAAGTTTGAGAAGGCAGATGAAGAGTTCACTAAATTCCAAAAAAGAGATGCTTAAAAAAAAGAAAAAGATACTCTTAAATGTGATCTAATAAAGTTCCTGAAGATTGAACAAAGATCATGAGAGAATTTTAAATCTTTTCAGATGAAAATAAGAGTCACTCACAAAGAAAAAAATAAAACTGGCATCAAATTACTTGCCTGCCATACTGGATGGGCTGATGGAGACTGCATGGGAGACGGCTTCGAGGTGAGACTGTCCAGCTATCCCAGTCATCATTTATCTGTTATGCTGAATGATTCAAAGAAAAAATTACCCATGTACTCTACCTGAGGAAAAGACTTAAGGAAAACTCCAAGCAACCATGGAATCAAAAGCGGCATCTCTCCAGGTTCAAGGTGAGATGAAAAAGGAAAGAAAAAAAGCAGTAAGCAATGGATCTTGAAACACATACATTGAAATATAAATGGAAACTGCTTGAAAATGATTTTGAGAGTTAAGTGCTAAGTATTCTTTAATAAAGAGACAGAATGCAAAGGAAAAACTGGTGAGAATCTGGAGCATAAGTTTCTAAATCATCTCAATAAAATCTAGGGTTAAATAAGGTGTAGGTGAGTTTGAAGGGAAAGCAGGAAAATAAAAGTATCTTAAGTCTTAAGTATTGATGAAAGTATGGGGAAGCAGACAATTATGGGGGTCTTGTATAAAATATTAAAGAGAATTATGTTTGATTCTGAATTTAGGAAAGTACAATAAAGCTCCAAAAATAACATGGGAGGAAATGAGGAGGAAGAAAAGAGACAGGAAAAAGGGAAAGTAAATAAATAGTACAATACAAAGTAAAATGGAAGGCAAAAATCAAATGATCAGTCATAACAAATATAAATATGATGAATTCTCCTATTAAAATACAAACACTGTCATATGAGAAATTAAGTAATTGGTGTAAATATTAGAAAATCAGAGAAAAAATTATCTCATTTTGCTGAAAGTACGCTTGTGTCTCTAGAGGAAATCAACAGAAATCAATCAGATCAACCAAAAAACTCAATGAACTAATAAGAGAATTTGGTAACATGGTTTGATTTTAAATTAATATAAAGAAGGACACGGCTACGAGATGAGGTGGCACATACTTGCAATCCGAGTACAATGAAGACTGAGGCAGGAGCATCACAGTTTGAGCCCAACCTGGACAACTTAGTGAGTTATCAGATCCCTGTCTCAAAAATTTAAAAAAATGTTTTAAAGGCCTAAGGGTGTGACTGAATGTGAAGGCCTTGGTTTCAATTCCCAGTACCACAAAAAAAGTCTAATGTTTTTCTCTATTTTATACTGGAAATATTCAGCTGAAAATGGAAATAAAACTTGTTTGTAGTAGCAATAAAATTATAAAATATGCAGAAAAGTTTATTAAGATGTGAAGTAAGTCATAATATTCTTATGAAGAACATAAAATAAAATCTGAAAAATTAAAAATACATATTAAGCTTTAGAATTAAAAATTTTATTATTATCAAACATAAAATTCTTCAAAACTTTTGTGTAAATGCAAGACAACTTCAACTAAAATGCCAAGTTTGTGTTTATATGTATTGAAGGAGGGGCTGGAAATTATATAAAATGATCTTAAAGATCAAGATCTTAAGAGAATAGTCAAGAGATTATTACTGAAAAATAACCTCACTATTAGTTATTAAAATTACTCTAAAATTATAATCAACATAGTATGGTATTAACCCAGAAGAACACAGATGAACTTCAGACTTTTTAAAAAATTAATTTTCTTAATGCAATTTTTAGCATTAAAATTACAATGTATATTATGAATATTTTGTATATATATGTTTTTATTAAAAAGTTCATGAAATGGAGGTGCCATAGGGACCCACACAGAAAAATGAACAAAAGTAGTTTGTCATTTTATTTAGTTGTCATAGTATCGTCCTTCAAACAATTATTGAAAATATAGCTTGAAAATACTGTACACCCATCATTCAAACTACATTTTTGATATATTTCATACTTTACACATTACACATTTTATGGCAGGCAACTAAGTACATGAAAGACTCAGTATTCTCTGTCACAATCATTACCAAATACCATCACGGGGTATATGACTTTCTGTGTATTTACTACTTCCAGAATACCTGAGTTTCTGGATGTCATTTGGAATAGAAGTGATTTCATTGTAGGAAACATCCAGTTCCTCAAGATGGGACAAGGAAAATAACCTTAAATACAAAGAAAAAAATTAATTGTAAAACAGATTTTATATATATATATATATATATATATATATATATACACTATTTATTTATTTGTTTATTTATTTGGTACCTGGGATCGAACTTGGGGCCTTATGCTTGCAAAGCAGATGGTGAAACCACTGAGCTAAATCCCGGCCCTTTTTTTAATCACTGGGATAAAGGAAGAATTAAAGACTTAGGGAAACAGGCAACAGTACAAAAAGTGTTATTTTTTCAGGATATAAAATCCATATTAAATAATCAATAGCTTTTCTAAACATGAATAATGAACTATCTAGGGAAGAAATCAAGAAAACAATTCCATTCACAATAGCTTTAAAAAAAGGACAAAAATACGTAGAAATGAAACTAACAAGGAGATGAAAAATCTCTACAAGAATAGATACATAGATCAATAGAACAGAATATAGGACACAGAAACAAGCCCACACAACTACAGCCATCTGATTCTTGACAAAGGGGTAGAAACATGCCTTGGAAAAAAGATAACTTCCTTAACAAATGATGCTGGTAAAACTGGATATCCACATCCAGAAGATTGAAACTAGATTCCTATCTCTTATACTATAAAAAATTCAATTCAAAATGGATCAAAGACCTAGTATGTCTAAGATCTGAAACTTTGAAATGGCTAGTGTTCATCCCCAATTTCTTGTCACCTCTGGAGAAAAAAAAACTGATACCATTTGCTCTATGTTTCAGTTCAAAATCATGATATTTATATTCTAGCCTCAGGCAGATTTTAGAATCATCTGCTTTCCCTTATCACTTCAGTACTGGCAAACTAGCCTGGCACCAGACTTTCACCATGGATGATGTATCCTGTTCACTGTGAAGCTCAATGGGTCTGTTGGCAGCATTGAGGAACTAAGATGCTGTATCAGGCCTAGAGTTGGAATTTATCTCATCTATTATAATCTTAGGGAGTACATCATCTAGATAGCCTGTTTAGTCAGGCACTCCATATCCCACCAGCACCAAATCTATCACATATTAAGAAGAATGTGTTTATTAGCACATTATTGACCAATAGCTGCTTAAACTAGAATCCTGCTGATAGCTTGGATGCACAGGCTAGCATTAATAATTACATGTATTAACAGTGATGACCACCACAGCAATTAAATGTCATATAGTAGTAGCCTACTACATATTCATGGCAATTTAAAATGATGTTTCACCTTATGGCTGCAAATTTGCTATTATTTTTGTAAAACTTTAAGAAAATAAAAGCTAAAGATGTCAAGTAATTTGTTAGTATGAAATTAAATATAGCTATCTTTTTCTTCAGGTATATAGAGACAGAGAAATTTAGTCTCTCCATTAATCAATAATAATATGGGAAAATAAATATTAGCCATTTCAGAACTGGCTCTGGATATAGCCTCCCAAGTAGGTTGCTAGAGTCTTTGTTCTAAATAGCTTCCCTTTCCCAAAGAAACTTCCTGCCAATTATGGCAAATTGAACCAGACAAGTAAAGCAAAATTTGATTCTGTTAGTTAAAAGTAGAAATTTTCTATGTAATTTTTCTCCTGCAATCGACTGGGGAAAAGATAAGGATGTCCTTTTTTACCTCTTTGACAGTTGTGTCTTTATAACCTTAGGGCTTGTGTCTAAAAAATTGTTATAGCTATTCCTCTTTATTCACTTAAGGGGCACTGATGTCTCTCACTCAATCCTTTCTTTCCTCTCTTCCCCCTTTCTCTCTTTTTCTTGTCTTTTCTACTCAGAAGGTTTGAGAAAAGAAAAAAATTCTATGGGATTCTTGATATGATTCATTATATTTATTGTGAAAGAGGTTTTAAAAGACAAATCAAAGAACTTTTCATGTTTATAAAACTCCACACATTACATGGCAGTTTGATTATACACTGCAAATCTGTAATAGAATGACAGGCCAGTCTTTCCTGCTTCAAAATGAACTTCCTTGACTCTGCTATTCCACTGCTGGGGATTTTCCCCAAAGAATTAAAAGAATCATACCACAGTGATATATGTGCACCATGTTCATAGCAGCACAGTTTGTAATAGCTAAAACTTGGAAACAGCCCAAATGCCCATCAACTAGAGACTGGATAAAGAAAATGTGGTTTTTTAATAAAATGGAGTACTACT